ATCTTGGAACTTCTGGATATCATTTACAATTCTTTGAGTATATTCCACTGGCAAAGCTTCCCATGGAGCATCATCTTTATAATCTGGCCAAATTTGTGGAGGAATAGTTTGATTGATTTCCGCCACTTTCCTTTGAAATTCTTGAAATGCATGAGCATATCGTTCCCAGTTTTGATGCATGTTCAATGGTTGAAATGCATACTCCTTAACATGGGAAAAATGAGCATACGTTCATGCTTTAGTGAAATATTCCTATCTTCAAAAAATTAAAGTCATATTTTTAGAAGTTCTAAAATCTTTAAATTTCAAAGAAAACACGAAACATTTTTATCCAGTAAGAGATTTGATAGAACCACTAAAAAAACTTTTTTGCAAAATAATCAATGGTTCTAAACGGAAAATTCAAGTTCATTTGATAGAATGTATCAAGTGCATCTGAAACATTAAAAGAAATTTCAATTTGCCAAATTCTAAAAGATACCAGAAAAAACAAAGTTTTTTTTTTTTTTTGAAAATTTCAGTGTAATGTATTTTGGATCAAAACGGAAAAGGTAAAGAATGGATAGTCTGGATGAAATCCAAGACCACCAAGTTTCAATTCCAGTCTGTCTAATCACAATGGATTGATATTTGAGCATAAGATCTTTGAATCTGGATTTGAGAGTTTTAGTTCTTATAAGCATTGATTTTAGAGGGAAAATGATTTAAGAAAGGAAAATGATTTGAACATTTTGAACTTATCATATAAAGATTGGAATTGATGGAGGAATTATTTGAGAAATTTTTGGTCTGGAAAGAAGGTCTGATAGGAGGTTGTGTTTTCCTTTGATATTTTGACGTCAAAGTCGAAGTTTGAAAATCATTCTGCCTATTTGAGAAGTTGTGAATTTGGAATTTGTTTTCTCTTAAAAGAGAGCATTTTTGGGAAAAGCTATCATATCCATTTCTATCGAGAATTTGTGTCCAATGAGATGGAACTTGAGTTTCTCAATTCCTCTTTTTACTGCAAGTATCTCCTTGAAAGTAGAATGATAATGCTTATCCGATTCTGTGAATGATCCACTTTTGTATCCACAAATTTCTCATATTCCTAGAGTATGGTTATCTGAAGGCTATACTTATCTTCACTTTGGTGCTGTCAGATTTGCCTTAACCGTTCATGGAAGAAAATATCTCCCTATATTTTCAAGGAGAATAAAAATTCTGCTCCGATCCAGTCCATAGAAACTTTTTTCAGAAAAATATCTAATGGAGATGTTGAAATTGCTTTCAAAAGGTAAGTGGTACCAAAGAAGCCTTCTTGTTTTCCTACTCAATTTGCATATACAACAGCTGATTTTTTGGGAATGCACATTAAAGATGGTCAGTATTCATTACAGCCTCACGTTGGTCAAAAACTTCTTAAATTTCCAGACGGAATTTTGACAAAAAAGGAAGTTCAACAATTTCTTGGAGTTGTCAATTACATGGCAGATTTTATTGATCATCTTTCATCAATTATAAGACCATTGCAGCTCATGCTTAAACAGAATCCTTCCCATTGGTTAGCGGATCAAACTCAAGCAATTCAAACCATTAAGTAGAAGGTTAAAGATCTTCCAGCTTTACAAATTCCTACTAATGGGAAACTCATCATTCAAACATATGCAAGTGATTGTTTTTGGGAAGCAGTATTACTTGAAGAAAAGGATGGAAAGAAACGAATTTGTGGATACAAAAGTGGATAATTCACATAATCAGTGAAGCATTATCATTCTATTTTCAAGGAGATACTTGCAGTAAAAAGAGGAATTGTGAAATTTCAGTTCTATCTCATTGGACACAAATTCTTGGTAGAAATTAATATGACAGTTTTTCCAAAGATGCTCTCTTTTAAGAGAAAACAAATTCAAAATTCACAACTTCTCAGATGGGCAGAATGATTTTCAAACTTCGACTTTGATGTCAAACATATCAAAGGAAAACACAACCTCTTACTAGACCTTCTTTCTAAACAAAATATTTCTAAAATCATTCTCCCCTAAATTCCAATCATCTATATGACAAGTTCAAAATGTTCAAATCATTTTCCTTGCTTAGATCATTTTCCCCCTGAAATCAATGAGCTTATAAGAACCAAAACTCTCAAA